TTACTCCACACGCCTCTGTTTACCTAGCAGTAAGTAGCAACTCAACTGTTAGTTGATTGTCAGATCGCTTTTCCGGGGGTAATAATTGCTTCAAAATAAATTTTAAAAAATTTGGTCACTCAATCCACAACTGTTTGTGGGACACTGCTGTGTGCAATTGGCTGCTGCATTTCACCCACAAATATACAGTCAATTCACTTTTTAGATGTCCCGTGAAGTGATTTGAATCGTCTCAAAGACAATATTATTACTATTATTATTAATAATGCAGTGTCCCACAGACAGGATCCACTTAGCTGCATCTGCCCTTACCGACCACTAACCATCTCCCCCTTGTTAGAATTTACACTTTTTGTATGATGTTGGAATCATAATAGATGTTGCGAATGGGTTAACTTTTAAGTTAAGTGTGTTGTGGGCAGCTGGACTGAAACTCACTTCACGTACACGAGATAACGGACTGTCTCAAGGACGGTGTGTTTGTGTGTGTGAGGCACGTACACCCCATGAGGTGTTCACGTGAACCCAGCATGATTTCGACCGGGTGATTAATATCCGCACCATGATTGGATGAACATTGGTATAAGAGTTCGAATAACTTTGTGAACGGGGCCGTCCCGGGTCGCGGAGACAAAGACAAGGGAGATGGAGCCGTCCCGGGTTGCGGAGACAAGGATACGGGAGATGGAGCCGTCCCGGGTCGCTGAGACAAGGATAAGAGAGATGGAGCCGTCTCGGGCTGCGAAGACAAGGGTACGGAGATGGAAGACTGAGAGCTGGAAACACTAAGACTGAGGATATCAGATGGAAGATTGAAAGCTGTTAGCAAGAAGACTGAAAGCATGAAGAATCAAGCTTGTGTGCTGGAAAGACACAGTGTTGAACTCTTGAACTCGAGATATCTATAGTGGTGTTATTCTGTTGTAAGATCTGTTGATTGTACCTGCCTTTGGTCTGACCCATCGGGATATTGGGGAATAACGAACGAATAATAATAAAACAGTCTGATATCTGGTTAGAGGAATTAGCGTTATTTCCTTACAGATTTGGCTGATTTTATTTTCTAACACCCTCTCACTCCAACCCCTACCCATCCCTCCCTCCATACCTTCAAACTTGCCTCCACTTCCTCTCTCATCACCACTAAAACCCACATGAAACCCACCACCTGCTCCCTGAGCCCTAACCCTACACTTCTCCTTACCTCCCAGCTCCACCTCCAACCCCCCCTACTCACAGACATCATAAACTGTCCATTGGCACCATTCTCACCCCTCTAAAAACAGCCGTCATCACTTCTATCCTCAAAAAACCCTCCATAGACCCATACCTGCTCTCAAACGACTGTCCCATCTCCACCTCCCTTTCCAAGGTCCTGGAACGAGTCGTTGCTTCCCAGTTTCACTCCTTCCTCTCCCTCCACTCCCTTCACGAAGCCCTGCTACTGGGTTTCTATGCTGCCCACAGCACCGAAACAGCTTTGGTCAAAGTGACAAATGACATTTTGTCCATCTGCGACCAGGGCTCTCTGCCTCCTCGTCCCCCACGACCTCTCTGCTGCCTTCGATAACGTTGACCACTCCATCCTCTTCCACCACCTCTCCTCAACCTTCATGGTTCTTCCATGAATGGTTCAGATCCTATCTCTCACACCGTCTCCACTTCATCTCCACAAACGGCTTCTCCTCTAGCCCTCGCACCATCTTGTGAGGAGTTCCTCAGGGCTCTGTCCTTGGTCCCCTTCTTTTCAGTATGAATATGCTCCCTCTTGGTGAGATCATCCGCAGACATGGGGTCAATTTCTTCATGTATGCGGATGACACCAAACTCGATCTCTCTGCTTCCACTCGAGTCCAGGACCACTGCTGTCCTGACAGAATGTCTGTCAGACATCAAGTTATCAACTTTCTACAGTTGAACGTCAACAAGACCTCATTATTGGCTCCCATCAGCACCCCCACACTTCAGGCACTGACAGCATCACCATCTAATAATAATAATGCATTTGATAAAGCGCTTTTCACGTCTTCTCGACGTCACAAAGCGCTTCACAGAATAGACTGTAAAGTGAATTGACTGTATATTTGTGGGCGAACGCGGCAGCCAATTGCGCACAGCAGTACCCCACAAACAGTCGTAGATTGAAGATGACCAATTTATTATTGTTTTTTGTTTTGGAGGGATTATTATTAGGCTCTGTGTGGAGTAAGGAAACTTGCCCAAGGTTTCGCCCTCTGCCTGGAATTGAACTCAGGTCTCTCGCTTGCAATGCGAGTGCTCTAACCACTGAGCTACAGGTCTCCACGAAGGATGCATCCAAGGATGCACCCTCCACTTTACTAAGTCAGTACAGAATCTTGGTGTCTTTTTTGACCCTAAACTATCCTTTCTACCCCACATCCGTGCAGTGTCCCGCTCTGTCTTCCCCCACCTCCGCCACTGTCTCACACCATAGGCGACCGAGACCCTCATACACGTATTCATAACATCCAGGCAGGGATAATAATAATCCCTCCAAAACAAAACAATAATAAGTTGGTCATTTTCAATCCACGACTGTTTGTGGGACATTGCTGTGCGCAATTGGCTGCCTCGTTTCGCCCACAAATATACGGTCAATTCACTTTACAGTCTATTCTGTGAACCACTTTGAGACATCGACAAGACGTGAAAAGCACTATATCAAATGCAAGGATTATTATTATCAAATAATTATTATTATTATTATTATTATGTGCAAACTCCCTGCTTGTCGGCCTCCCCAACTCTTCCCTCCATAGGCTGCAGATCATCCAGAACTCTGAGGTCCGTGTCCTCTCCCGCACCAGTCTCCGCGATCCTATCATCCCCATTCTCACCCGACTCCACTGGCTTCCCATCACATAGAGGATACAGTTCAAGATCCTGGTCCTCACCTTCAAAGCCCTCCATGGCCTTGCTCTCCTCTACCTCTGTGACTTCCTAACCCCCTACCAACCTGCCCGCTCCCTCGGTTCAGCGGGCTCCAGCCCGCTTCACATCCCCTGCTTCACCCGCCCTACCATTGGTGGGCAGGCCTTCTGCAACTCTGCCCCCACCCTCTGAAACTCCATCTCGCAGTCCCTCCGACTTGCCCCCTCCTTTGCCTCCTTCAAGACCCGTCTCAAGAGCCTCCTCTTCTACATACGTAGTACAACATTGCCTGCCTCCACCATGTCCTCACCACCCTCCACACACAATCAAAACCCTCACCCATATCTTTGTCGACCCCAGACATGACGCTTCTAAAACCCTGTTTGCAACCTCTGCTGTCACTTTATCCACCCTCAAACTTTCCACTCCCCCCCCACCCCAAACACACACACACCTTACTTTCTCCCTCTCTGCTTTCAAAAAAATCTGGAGACCTAACCCTTTGGCTAACTCTCTCTCAACTAGGGACAAATAGGAGGTCCGAACCAGCCGAGCAGAGGCAGCGGGCAGTGGAGTGAGGGATAAGCAAACTGGATAGGTATGGAGGGAATTAAGTGATTTGGAAACAGTGAGGGGATCTTGAAATCGATTTGTTCGGTGATTGGGAGCCAGTGGAGCCTGGCAAGGACTGGTGTGATGGGGATATATTTAGTGCGGCTGAGTATCCATACGGCGGAGTTTTGAATTAATTGGATTTTGTGTTTGGTGGAGCTGGGGAGACCAGCAAGGACGGCATTGGAATAGACCAGCCAAGAAGTGTCAGGGAGTGGACGAAGGTTTCAGCGACGTCAGTTGTGAGGTATGGACGGAGGCGGACAATATGGCGGAGGTAGAAAAAAGCAGTCCTGGTGAGGGGACAGATGTGTAGTAGAAAGGAAAGCTGGGGATCGAACCTGACGCCTAAGTTGCGCATGGGTTTGGAGAGTCTGTGGGAGAGCTCTGGGAGGTCGAGGAGTTCAGACCCGCAGGAGAGAAGACATTGACAGGAGCCAAAAAGTATGGCTTCCTTTTTGCCGACATTCAGCCGCAGGAAATTTGTGCTCATCCAGGCCATGATGTCCATCAAACAAGCTGACAGGACATCAGTGAACTGGTAGTCACAGCTGGAGGAGGAAAAGTAGATTTGGGTGTCATCCGCATACATGTGGAAGTTGACAATACGATGCGATTACATCACCAAGAGGGTGCATATAGATGAGGAAAAGAAGGGGGCCAAGGATGGAGCCTTGGGGTACCCCGCAGGTGACCAGGCGAGGGTGAGAGGAAGAAACATTGGAAAGGAAACATTTTCCCTATGAGAAAAGAGCTGTATCAGTGCAAACTGATGCTGTTGCTGTATTACGAAGTCAGTTTTCAAATGCAGCTGGCTAATCTGTTGTGCCTCATGTGTGAAATTTTATAAAGTGACTTCTGAGAATTCAAGTAAATTCTACCTACCAGTGCCCTCATCCACTGGTTTCGGTACCTCCAACATATAAATGAGATAGGATTTCCCCCAAAATATTCCCAAAACTCACAATTATCTAAATGCCACTACACAGACTTAATTTTGCTTTCTCATCTGAGAAGTGGGCCATAGGCAATAAGTCATCTTTTCATTTGTTCTGTAAAAGGCTAACAAAACTACAACAAAAGGTCAGAAAGAATAACACCAACCAAGGGGAACAGCAATTGTAGGCCTTCAGGATATATATTTTTTAACATGTCTCATAATTCTAAATTTTTCTTAATAGNTTTTTGCGCCATCAATTGTCACTTTGGTCCATGTCCTTGATTGCATTGTGGCATTCAAACAGTCATTGGCAGTAGACATTTGCTAAGTTTTATCATGCCATTTTTTGCATGAATCAAAAATATACATTGCACGCCCAGGGCTACAAACATGGGACTAAAGTAGCTCTGAAAATTATCCCATTTAGCAGTTTGTTCATCCTGTTATATGTTAAATGTTGGAAATTAAACTCAATTATGATATGACATAAATAATGAAACTACATTGTATGACTGTGCATGGACAAAACAATTAATAATAATCTTATTGCTCTCACCTGTGGAAACATCACCATCCAGTAAGTTATCATCCTCAGATCCTGTAAAATCCATGATGACTCCGGCTCCGTCTAACAGTTCCTCATCACTACTGGCACTGGTTATACTGTTGTAACTGTTTCTATAATATCCTCTGGAAAACAGTTGCTCTGACTCCATTTAGTATTTGGTGCTCTGGAGGGGAAAAGGAAAATGAAATTGCTTAACTTTGTAACATGATGCCACAAAAGTGTGATGTATAAACTGATATTCAAAAAGAGTATTGATTGTTAGGACATCCCAAGCGGCAGTCCTGGCTTGGCACCCCCAAAAAACCCTTGCATTTATATTCCGCTCTTCAAGAGAGCAACATCTGAGTACAGTACTTTGTTTTATTTTAAATTTCAAGTTTAATTATTCTGTCTGAATAAGCAAAAATGCTAATTTATTATTAAAAACATGAAAAAATTTAACCCATTTAAAGTATATGAGTAATTGTGTGAAAATGAAATATTAACAATATTTATCTGCTGGATGTTCATGCAATATAGCTCAATGTAGGCAAGTGTAAAAACCCTAACCCTCAATCCTCCAGTGAAAGTTTAAAAAAATGAATTTAAATGAAATATTAAACAACTGAATACACTTTTTGAATTTAAATGCATAATAAATCAACTTAAGCCTCTCAAAATTGCAGAAGGCAGGGCTCATCTCTCTTTAGGGGAAAACTGCATCTTATAAGAGAACAAAGGATTAAAATACTGTGAGGCTTTGAGGGGAAAAAAACGTCCCAGGGGAGAAGGAAAACATCTGGCTATAAAATGTTTAGATTCAGAACCTAAGGCTTTTTTTTGCTGAGGCAAAAAACAAAAATCTATGAGATCACAATAGCACAAGGAAACTATGTGATAACTGTGATAACCCCAAGAACGCTTTCCAAAAATGGTGATTTCACAGTTTACTTTGAATCTTTCAGAAAGGGTAAGCTTTATTTCATACATTAATTTCATAACAAATTGGGCACTATGCATTGTGACAATATGTGTTGCGAACCCATTTTTGCTCTGCCTAGTATACGTATGTGTTCTACATTGTACTTTTTTAAAGATTGAAAGATATGACACTCAGGTTTTTGTGTTAACTGAGATTATGAAAGGCAAATACAGTAAGCTCCTGATAGCTCAACCCTGCCTAAACTTGTCACCACCACTTAAATCATTATGCTGTCAATATTTATGTATTTATACATATGCCTAACTCACAATTCCTGATAACTCATCATTGAACCCTTTTCCCTTGGAGTGGCGAGTTATCAGGAGCTTACTGTAAAAACATTGTAAATTTAATATTTAGCATCAACACTGATCATGCGTTTGTTTACTTGAATTTTAGAAGTGCACCCTTCGTTGGGCCAGCCTGACTTTTTCCATTTCTCATACTTAGTACAATTAATTATGGCTTCCCTGACTGAGAATTAACTGAGTAAGCACTGCCCAAACTTGCCTCATGATGAATTTTTCCACTCAGTTGAGAGGAGATAATCAGTTCATCGGTCTGAATGCAGAAAGACACTGGTCCAACTCAACGCACCATAAGCACCACCCCCACCCCCCACCCACACACCTAAAAAAAATCCCTTTATGAGACTATACAGTACTGACACAAGCAGCATCTAAGATATTGCACCATATAAGTATTTGTGAAGACAAAAATAAAGTTATTAAAATAAATGAATTATACTTTGATTTATAGGAAGGAAAGAAAATAGTATTTGTATGCACTGCACTCTATGCATCCCATTGGCCACTACAAAAGGTGCACATAGTGAAACCATTGATGCTATCATCCTTTCATGCTCTATAAATCATGTGAATGACAATTCCTTGCAACAGAGCCCATATCTATTTCTGTCAAATCAGTTCTACTGTCACTCACGAACACGCAGCTGAAAACATTTGTTCCTCACTTCTCTCCCTGCTTTATCTCAAACTATCCCACATGACTACTGAACTGAAACGGTATCCATAAGCCTAAATTCCAGGCCTCTCCAAAGTGGATAATGCACTTACATTTCCCATCCTTGACAGATAAGCTCATTTTATTCTGTCGGTCACAGAAAAAATGGTGCTCACTAAACAAGGTCAGTAAATTTTCTGATGAGCAATGAATCCCCTTTAGATGACACACAGGTACCAGTGGAATGCAGGTTGCATCATCCTCTGGTTTTACAAAAGGAGATCACATCTTCTTTTGGAAATTTTATACCCAATTTTCGCTTTCAAGTGCTGATCGACCAGCTATGATTTCATTATTATTGTTGAAGATCTGCTTAAAATATTCAATTAATGTCCTAATTTCAAACTACCAATATTTTGCTCAAAATTCAATATTAGCTCACAGTAAAATATACTGCACCGCATACTCCTATTTCAATTTTATTTTAAAATTATTTCACAGTAACAAGTATGGTACTTCAGGCATTCCTATTTGCGGCAGCATGATTGTAACGCAAACAGAGGCTGTGCACTCCACAGCCGCAATGACATCCTCCAATGCCACATCAGACTCAAAACTGCAACATGATTGGGAATTTAAAAGTAATTAAGTACATTTTATCATAAAATTTTATGATAAAAATGACACCCCCAACCGGCTCCACCTGTGTGTGTGATAAATAAATAAGAGTAGAATTCATTGTTTTATTTTGAGATGCCAGCTTACAAAAAGCCAATCGCTCTTTATAAAACAAATAACACTTCAAATTTGTTTAATCTGCAAATGACAGCATAACTTCAAGCAGAAATAACTGAACCAAAACAATGCTTTAAAGGCTACTGTCATACTACAGGGCACTTCCCAGTCAGCCTGTGCTCCTGAAACTCCCTCATGTTAATATGTGGAGCAAATCTGCACTGCAGCTGAATTCGTGTGTATGTGCATCAGCATAAATCTTACTACACAAGTGGGACCTGGATAGTAGAATTTTCCATAAATATCCATTTCCTGGAATTCACACAGTACGGTATAATTGTGTTGAGTTACTGGAGAAGCATTGTCCATTTTGTTTATTTTAAAAGAAAGCCTTTACTAACATGTGGTGATGAGAACTTAGACAAGTACATGACATTAAAGCTGCAATAAATATTGGTTTGCAAATATAATTTTAATAATTGTACATTCATGGCATTAATGTATTGGTATTACCCATCCTTTTTGTTAACTGTTGTAACAGTGCTAACAAGCAAAAAATACACTACTTTAGACATATTGTGTTTTTCAATTATGAAATGCAAATGTGTATCGCAGCAAATGGAAAAGCATTCTACCCTAAATAACTTACATTTATATAGTTCCTCTCATTTAAAAATAAATATTTCAAGTTGATTTACAAAATATAAATGATTAAAAATGAAAAGGAATGCATATTATACGTAAACATGGCAGTCATTCTGCACTACCAACATTACATAGACAAAAAGGAAATAATAATATAAGATAAAATAGAATATAAGATTGGATAACTTGGAGAAAGACTCCATGATTCTTTGAAATATGGAGTTTTTTAAAAAACTAAAGCTATTGCAAATTAATGCCACGGTTATCATGTAACTACGTAAGTTTCAGAATAAGCTAACATGACTAAATATTTAAAATATTAGAAATTTTTAAAACATAGTAAGACAATGCTGTAAAGCAATCTCAGTTTATAATAAGCAATAATTTATGAGTAAAACAAACTTTTACAATACAACTAAAAAACCCACATTCAACCACATGTCTTCCAATGTTCAAAATAAGACTAGATTATTTTGTTTTCACTTGAGAAAGTAGCACAAAAATATCATGTGAATCATTTTAAATTAGTTATTGTAATAATCCCAGTATTAACCCATGATAGTTAACTGTATCCTGATTTCATTTCCACATATCTGCACTGTCCAGCAGGGTTTAGTGCATAGTTAGCAAGAATGGGAACCCAAGTGTTTTTTTCCCTAACCCAGGAGGATAAGGCCAATTGTTAATATAGTAATCTCATTACTACTCCACTTTCAACAATTTAAATCATCACAGACCAGGGATCAATCCTGGAATCTTCACCACACTTTATTGGAAAAGCCTCTGATACTTTAAAGTACAGTACTTTTTCAAGTCATAATTTTTGCACATCAAAACCATACTGCCCTCCTGAGCTAAACTTTGCTGTTATAAGAATTTTGTAAGCACAGCAAAGCAAGGTGTTAATTCTATCCCATCATCACAGACATTAGAAACCAAATAGATTTGGAGGGTGGGGGAAGAGAAGGAAGACTCTTCTGAATCTGATATATCAATGACTTTGTTGCTGAACAAACTGTGAAATTCAAGTATAATAATGAAGAAAAAAAGATAAATTGCCAGGCCTTTAAATTAGTGGTGTCAAATTATATATAATAATAATACACATCTCAAAGCACTTCACAGGATATATTGTAAAGTGGATTGACTGTATTTTGTGGGTGAAATTCCAAAGATAAATTGTTGGAATGGGATGTGCACTCTCTCCCTCGAGGAATGCACACCTAATTCCAAAAATATTTGGCAACAGGTTGGCAAGAGTCAAGGGATGGGGACCACAAAGTGTGCATTGTGGTATTGATGGAGTCAAACCAGCTAAAGCTTTCCTGCTGCGTTTGTCCAGCCAGGACCACTCAACCTGTCGGGCTTTGGCTTGCAGGGTTAACATGAGCTGAGTGGGATGATTCACTGCCCCCAGTGACTGGTCTGTCCTTCCAATACCTGCCGATGAGCCAGGCTGGCTGTGCTGTCATCAGCGGGGTCCTGGAATACTGTGGATCCGCCTGCGGCTCAGGAACCGGCCAACCAAGACTACCAAAGGGTGGGCTCGATTCCGAAATCCTGTTGCCAAACATGTCACCTTGGAACCAGTTCATCTCCCCTCCCCCACCGCCACCCAAGCAGCACAGTCACTAGTTGATCCTTTGACAACGGACAAGCGCAGGTTTGAGCCCTCACCAAGTGGACGGTGGATACTTTCCACGGTAACACGCTATTGTAATGTTCTATTTGNAAAAAAACTCAAAATTCTACACAAATAAACTTGAATTAATGGTTTATTAATTCAGATTGGGATGTCCTCCCAACGTGAAAGGCGCTATACAAATCTAATTTGTTGTTGTTGCTTATGCTTAAGACATATTTCAAAGTACTCTTTACTTTTAGTTAGTTTTAAGCATGGTGAGAAGTAAGACACTTGCAACTGAATCACTACACCCCACAAACAGCGATCGTTTGTTTCCTCGTGGATTTGATCACCGTAGAAACAATCTCCAGAACAGAGAGACAACCCTCTGCTCTTCTTTGAAAATAGTTACAGAATCAAGAGTAGCAGCTGGGCTCAGTTGGGAGCACGACTGCCGCTGAGTCAGAAGAGGGTTTACGCCTGCCATTAGAACAACAAGCTTTCTGTAGGCACGCTGGCTGCCACATTCAAGCACACAGGGTCACTACACTTTTCAAAAAGCTTTATGAAGCCCTACTGACATTTCAACATGATAAGGTGCAGTTCCAAATATAAGGATTATTGTTTTAATAGTGCTCAAAAAAAGCCAGTATGGATAGAAAGGGCTTCAGTTTAACATCTCATCACAAAGGGAATCACAAACAATGTAGTATTCCCTTAGTATGTCACCACAGTATCAGCCTGGATGATGATCTGGGGATTCAAATCAAGGTTACGACCCAGAGATGACAGCACTACTGAGTGAAAATGATGCATATAAAATAATACATTTTCAGTTGTGCAAATAACCGACACCGAAACATCACGTGTTGGAAGGACGTTAGAAGGACTGAAATTGACTCCTTAAAATGTGACAAATCCATATTCAAAAACTAGTTAAACATTAAAAACAGATTCCACGATCTCCAATTGAATCAACCAAGGTTTAACAACAACATCAGCTTCTGCCCTTTATACTTATACCCCCAAAATTAAGGATTTCAGAGTAGAGACTATCCTCCTGGGGGTGGGGTGGGTGCAGGGGTGTAAGCAAGATCTCCTTAGAACATAATGTCAGAGTCAAGTGAGTGCTCTGTGTTGGTCTTGGTAGAACAGTTCCCTAGCTAGATGGTTCTACAGTACTAGAAGGCAAGGCATTGCTAATGACACATATAGCAGTCTTGTTAGCAAGAATAGAGGGGCAGATTGGTCATTGGAAGCAAGGATTCTTCCCATTCAGCTCCCTGTTTGTCGGCCGTCCCAATTCCTCCCTCCACACGCTACAGATCATCCAGAACTCTGCAGCTTGTATCCTCTCCTGCACCAGGCTCCATGACCCTATCACTCCCATCCTCGCCCAGCTCCATCCTCCATCACTCAGAGGATACAGTTCAAGATCCTGGTCCCCACCTTCAAAGCCCTCCATGGCCTTGCTCCACCCTACTTCTATGACCTCCTAAAACTCTACCAACCTGTCTGGTCTCTCCGCTCAGTGGACTGCGGCCTGCTTCATGTCCCTCACCTTGCCCACCCAACGTTGGCGTGCGGCCTTCAGCCTCTCTCCCCCCACCCTCTGGAACTCCATTCCACAGTCTCTCTGCCTTGCCCCTTCCCTCGCCTCCTTTAAGTCCCCCTCTCAAGACCCTCCTCTTCAACTGTGCCTTCGGTCACCCTCCTACCTCTACGCTCCCCCACTCGATCCCAGCCAGTGGCTCAGGCGCATATCCCTGACTGTCCAGCGCCTTGGGACGTTCTCCTGCCATGAAAGGCGCTGTAGAAATGGAATTTGTTGTTGTTAATTTGGTCAACCAGGTGTCTGACACATACGGAAACACATTCCATGCTTAAGAATATGTGGAGTCCTGTAGCTCAGTGGTTAGAGCACTCGCTTTGCAAGTGAGAGACCGGAGTTCAATTCCAGGCAGGTCAGGGCGAAACCTTGGGCAAGTTTCCTTACTCCACACGCCTAATAATAATCCCTCCAAAACCAAAAACAATAATAAATTGGTCATTTACAATCTACGACTGTTTGTGGGACATTGCTGTGCGCAATTGGCTGCCGCGTTCGCCCACAAATATACAGTCAATTCACTTTACAGTATGTTCTGTGAAGCGCTTTCGGACGTCCTCCCGACGTGAAAAGCGCTATATCAAATGCAAGGATTATTATTATTATTATAATATCCAAACCAAACGGAGAATTTCATGTAGCCCATCTACACATGGAGATTCCAGAAATGCTAAGGAATGCATAATTCCCTCCTTGAAGTGACGCATCCTGCTTAGCTGATTCCAGAAAGTATTAGGTGTAGGTTGGTAAGAGCCAAGGCTTGGGACTCCAGAATGTGTGTTGGGGTTTTTCTGGAGTCTAAACATCTAAAACCACATAGCTTGCCATTGAGAGCATTGCCTGGCAAGCTTTCCTGCTACTTATCTAGCTAGGACCACCCTATCTGTTAAGGCTTTGGCTTGCAGGGTTAAAGGGTGCAGTGTGGGAAGAGTTCCTGCTGCAATGAATGGTCTACCCTTCCAAGTCTTGCCAATGGCTCTTCTATCATCATCAGTTCCCTGGAATACTGCAGACCCACCTGGCTCAGGAACTGGACTGTCAAGACTGCTATAGAGGGTGGGTTTGATTTTGACATTTCATTGCCAAATATGTCACCTTGGAGCCAATTCAGCTCCAACAATATTTTGCTTACCCCACCCCCCTCCAGGAGGATAGTCACAAGTTGGTCATTTCATATCCAACAAGCCCAGTTTTGTGCCCTCATCAGGTGGATGGCAAATGAGATCAAACCAGGAAATGGAAGCTGTGAAAATAATTTTTACATTTTGTATGGGTGGCTAGTAAACTGAATTGTATTGAGGATGCTTTGCTGTCAAAGAATATGTTGCTGCACAGAATGTTATAAATTGTAGTTACAAACAAATCTATGTTCATAATATCTTGCCAAGGAAACAGTATTTATTTTAACCTAGACTTGAGTGAATTTAGGCTCAATTTAGAATTTTAAAAAAATTCCTTTGGTAAAAATTATATTTGTCCAAATGTTTTGTTTCACTACATATTAAAAATCGAGATGAATCATCAGCATAAGTGCAGTGTGCAAAGAGAGCATCCTGCAGAACAAAAATGGAATTCACAAATTTAATTAGATTTTTTACCATTTACGAGTTGTTAACAAGAAACGAATTGCAGATCCAAATGATATTAGACGAGGGTATCTTCTCAAACGTTCTTTCTTACTCAATCATTTATCCGTGTCCTTCACATTATACTGTTTCATTCACTCTGTATTAAAAGCTCTCTTTGATTTATCATTTTACTTTTTGTTTTCCTACTTGCTTCATTTCTCCTCTCAATTATTCCACCTTATGCTTTTTGTGATTCTATTTCAACAACAGCAACAATTTGCATTTATTTGCACTTAACTGCAGTCTGGTTTGACACTGAGTCAGAAGTGGAGAGATGGTAATTGAAGGCACCATCAACAGAATTGGCACCACAGTAAAAATGATAGGGTATACGCAATAGTGCATGTTAAAGAGCATGCAAGAACTTTCTGAGACTGCCAAAAGCACTGTAACTCTGCAGTACTTGTTCATTCAGATTCTTCTAGCAATTGAAAAGTGAGCAGAACTTCAGGTACGTAACCATCAAATTATTTGAACTAAAAACTCAACTTTTGTCAAGTTGCTGTTGACTTTATAGAATACAGATGAGTTATGTTTCTGCTTGGATTACTTTCTTTATGTCATGGGAACCCAGAAGCTGGACTGCAATTTTAAGGTAGCAGAAATATGCTCCAAAGAATATGTTATAATAATAATGTTAAGGACCATTGAAGTTTTTTTTGCTTTAAAATCTGAATTTGCCAATATACTTTGGGGTTTGTAATTATGCATGAATAGTCATAAACTCACTTGGCTATAATAACTATAAACTTGAAATGATATAGTGCCTGTCATGTAGGATAACATCTCAGTCCATTTTACAGTAAAGGTGTTGGACACCATTCTTTTTTTAACTGAATTTATCCTTTGGGGGGGGGTAACTTCTGCCCCCTCCAATTTTCTTCTGTTTTTTCCTTGAAAAAGTGGACCCCAGAAAAAGGGCTTTTATTTTGTGATTCAAACTGACTTTAATGGGCCTTAGTAATATGTGACTGGTACATATTTTCAGATTTTTTTCCTCGTGATAACACATTATATTAATGTACTTGGCAATCCTACTTGTTATAAATCTTGAAAGTCTTAAGCATTTCGTACATATTTAATAGATTTCAGCAACCAGTTATGCCTCACAGAAATTTTAAGGAGGTGTTCAGTGTATATCTTGGCTCTCACCAACCTGTGCCTAATGCTCTCTGGAATTAGGTAAGTAGCGTACGTCCCTCTGGGGAGAAAGTCTGCGTTCCTTTCCAAGCACTGCAATATCCATGTGTAAGTGGAGATATTGAGAGACGAGCCTCAAAGCTCTTGAGTGGAATCCTAAATAAATGCAAGTTGCTGTTTTCATATAAAGAGGGTTTTGATATTTTGATAGGATTTGCACATGGGCTGATAACTGGCAAATGAAGTTTAATAAAGATAAATCCAAGGTAATACACATAGGAAGTGACAACAACAACAAAATTACATTTGTATAGCGCCTTTCACATTGAATAGTAATAATAAGCAATAATAGGAAACACACATACTCCATCGATGGGATAGAACTTGCAAAGGGGAAGCTGAAAGAGATTTAGGGGGGGTTGTTTGGGGGGGGTATTCGGGAGGGCTGTTTGGGGTGTGT